TTCTTTCCATCTTCGCTGAGCTGTAACATATTTTTTCCTAGAGCATCGAATTCTGCTGAAATCTGGAGAGATGAACATTACTGTTCACTTATAACTTCTTAATTGGGGTTTTGGTGGCGCAAAAGTTAAGCCCATGCAATCTCGGCGTATTATTGAACTGGGATGCAGCCATTTGAGACTCATTATATGTATACAGACGAATAGGATGGGCACTTAGTGGTTGAACTTTTAGTCAATATAGGTGCATAAATATTAATTAACGTGGTGATAGTAATTAATGCATAGTGATTGCAAGATCATGACATAAAGGTTTTGATTGAATTCAATGAAATTATGGAGCGGCGGGATACAGAAAAAAAAGAATGTTGCTTTGGATCATCGCAGAAAATCAAATTATTTATATTATGAGTTTATTTGTTTGGAACTGAGGGAAATACTATGGATTAGAGGCATGTGTTCTTCTTTCAAGAGCCATCTACTCTTCCTTTCGGGCCAGGACTTGAAATCAACTCAGTAGTTATGAACTCTGAGTACGTCAAGCACCAAATAATAGTTACCCATAAAATGTTTCGGTCTTATTTCTAGCAACCATGACGTTTTGTCCGTAACAGCTTGATGATGACAGCAATAATAATATCAATAATGACAGTAATAGATTTGATGTTAATCATATTACTCACAATAATTTGGTAATAATAACTATCGATCCTCATAGCTAAAAGTACGATCTGCCTAATGCATCTTAAGATATGTTACGGCACAGAAAAATGCCTTCATTACGGGTCACCACCTGATTTGCTAGTTATCTCGCTGGATGATTTTCTGGTCAGATGGCATCGTTTCGGTTGATCAGTCTTCATCATACTGCCAGAATTAATGAATGAGTGAATAAATTATGAATGATGAATTGAATTTATTCTGCAGCTTCAGTGCGAAATTCACCGAAAAGCTCATCGTCGTCATTACCGATTGTTTGCGGGACGAATAATGCGAATGGTAACAATAACAAATTATCAATGAAACAACAAAAATTACCTTCATCCTCATTGCAATCGTCCTCATCGATGAATCAAATCAGTCAGAGTCACAGTCCAAAAACTGCTTCCATAAGTAAATCTCAGTCAGCAGCACCAACCCCAACACCCAACTCCACTTCCAGTAAACCTCCATCGCCACCACTATCATTATCATTATCATCAACTCCCGCTAATATCGATACTAAAACCTCTACGTCGAATGCACTGTTGACCACAACTGCTGTTGATGCAGCCAAAGACAGCACTAACTGTAATAGTAATAACAAGACATCCACAACTAAGATTACTACTACTCCAAGTTCATCAACAACAGCAAAGACCGAGCAGAATAATGCTCCATCTTCTTCGTCAACAACAAGTCAACAACAATCACATCAACCGAAAAGTCGACGGAAGTCGACGCCTAGAGCCAAGAAGGATCCTCATCATGCTCATGGCGCGGATGATTCGTCAAGGAATAAGTTCGTTTCTTTCGTTCACTCATTTGACATTAGAAGGGGTGTCAGCAGTGAAAAGACAATGCCTTAACTCACTGAACACTCGTGCGCAATGCCTTACGCATGTTTCTCTTCAATTTTGTCAGCAGAACGAAAAGGCATCTGGTTCCACTTTCTTAACACTACTCTCGTTGAACTATCACACAGAATCGAGCCGCGACTAACAACGAAAATTGAACAGAAACTATCAGTAAAAGTCGATATTAATAATACTGCAATTGTTATTGTCCCGAAATCTATCTGACTAATCAGTAATTTTAGAGGTGTTGGTTCATCCACAATGCAGACAGCATCAATACCGTCATTAGGTGTCACTCAAAACGTTCACCCTCAAGCAACACCATTAATGTTAACTTCTGCACCGGTTTGTTAGTTCATTTATTAACTTATTTCGGATTGTATTTGATCCAGCGTAATCTATAGAATGATTGTGTTGTCATTATCGCTATTTTAAATTACAATTATTATAATTAAAGAGCGGTCCGATAATGTTAGTGCATCACAATGGACAATGCTTCATGGTACCGGCAGCGCAATACTTCAGCACAACAAATCAACAAATGAACGCCGCGATTCGAATGGTTGGCAAATTTGAATCAGAAACATTCATTGATCGTTCGATTTTCTGAGTTAACTCAACTCGATTCAGTCGTTTTCATCAAACAAATTTAAATTTTCGGTGTCGTTCTTTGCGAACGATTTGTTATTTATTCAATTGTGAAACAAAAATCAAATGAACAGTTGAAGACTATCACAGTGAAGGAAAATAACGTGATGAGGTGATGTGAAGAGTAACGATTAGGAATTTGTTATTGTCGTATTCCTGAATGGCGAGAAATAAGAAACTTATCATTAAGTGGAAATATCTGAATTTTTGATGAACTGAGCGATTAATTGATTGGTTGAAGTGAATTCCTATCAACTTGAGGAAAAATATCTTTTCAAGTTGACGAAATTTTTGCTGAGAACTTAATAATTATTCAAAAATTGAAGAGTACCCCACAGCAACAACAGCAATCTCAAGTTCCAATCCAGTCTCAGCATCAGCAACAAGCCCAACAATTAGTGCGTTCCAACATGGTATCAAGCAATTCGACTGCCACTCTTGGTCAGTTGGCCCGCAGCTTGGCCCCGAAGCCTGCATCATCAAGTTGGTATTACCTTATTTGGTTCGTCGTTGTACCTAGCTTGACCTGGCTCATTTCAAATCATTCACGTGTTTCGTTTTATCCTAAGATGAGCCAGAACATATGTCCATCCATCTACCTACTATAGTAAAAATATCTCAAAGTTTATGTTACTAATTGAATAACTTCCTCGATTGTAAATCGAATTATTAACACACTTATTTATTTGAATTGTCATTCAATTCAGTTACATATAGATATATGCTTATTCCTGTTCGTGCATTCACCTTTACTACCGCATAAATTTATTTTTAGTTGAGTTTCTTTAGGAGATCAATGATTCAGCGTTATTATCATTGTTATTATTATTGTTGTTATCCATATTTTGGTGTTATTATGATAATTGTCAAAATCGTTCGTGATATTACAATAAACCATCTGCAGCATCAGCATCATCATCAGCACAAGCGTCGTTATCGAACACTAGTGGTACGTGTGGCAATGCGAGTACATTCATTCAGTCGAACTCATCCAGTCTTAATCAGTCTTCATCGTCAACAAATAATCACGTAACTATTACCACACCGCAGCACGTCTCTTCTGCGCGATTCGTCAGCGATTTATCTAATTTTAATGCTAATCCACAGCAACAACAACAACAAGCTATCTTTCAACAAGGTAATTACCTTTAATAATGCTACTGATAATATTGATGATATCATTTTTAGTAATATTGTTCATGATTATAATGATGGTAAGAATGTTCAACATTTGTACTGTCATTATGAACATTGGTGATGTTCACAACGGCAATCATTCATTTTATTCCTCATAGAAACCAATTGTTCCATTTTTGCAATCATCGTCGATTGATACGCGTCTATCTGTCAATGGATTTCAGGGATTCAGATTCGTGCCACAGCTCCGGTCAGTGCAGGGAGTACACCAGGGATTGTGCTTCAGATGCCGAATGGAGCTTATACATATGTACAACGTTAGTGCGTTTGTTTGTTTATTCATAGTTGCAACATCACAACAATGATAATAATTTAGAAGTGGTCGCCCCGAGTCAGCAGCAAGCAGCAGCAGCAGCAACACAATTGCCGACAACATCCCCCTCGATAACCCAGTCATTAACGCATTCAACCACAATTTCCTCTCCCACTACCATATCAACGTGCTCACTACCCACCACCACCACTCAAACTACTTCAACTTCAAATAAAAATAATAATGATAAGCAAAATCCCAGTCAACCAACCATCACCACACCGTTATCACCCTCGTCAACTCCAAGCCATCAAAAACAACAACAAACAGCTGATGGTTGTTATGCCCTTATTTTCTTATCAAATAATAATAATAATAAGCAAACCGCAAAGATTTTATTCATTCTTCCATTGATGCATTTACTCACTCATAAGAAACAATCGCAGCACATAGTCTTAATCCTCTTCAAAATAGCTCTAAATAACTTCGAAGTTTTCTATAACGTTTCACCGACTTGTTATTTGGTATAAAATCTGCATTTATGTGATGTGAAGCAGAGTGATAAACTGTTGTAATCTACTAAGGAAGATGTGTATTGAATAAGTGAATCATTTCAGAAGGAACGATATCTTCAACGATATCATCTGTATTATCATCGACGGCAAATGCTTCAAATCTGATGTCATCCGTCTTCAGCTCGTCCCATGCTAGTAATAATAAAGCATCATCTCGAAATAATTCGAAGCATCATTCTGCAAGTTCCAAGAATAAGTCATCCGCTAATCATCAGTCGAATCCCAAAGGGGGTTCGTTTGTTTATTTGATTGATTTAAGGCACTAATAAAGTATCGTCTTTATCATTCTTGTCACAGTAATCCATTATGATTCAGTGTCACTCTCCTCAGCTATAATGTTTCCAGCAGTCGTTACAAGTGGTGTATCGACGATCAGTCCGTCGAATCTGGTACCAATCGGTGCGCCAATGCCCATGATGGTAATGTCAGCGACAGGTATATCAGCACAACAACTCAGCACTGCATTCGGCACACCCACTCTACCGATAATGGGTAGCAATGGTCAAATAATTGCCCATCAACCACTCATATCAACCAACTCCATATCGAACACACATCAAATGATTCCTATGTTACAACAACAACAGATGAACACCATCAATCAACAACAGCACATGCGATTCTATAATTTATCGTCGTCATTTAATAATAATGCTAACATTAACAATAATAGTGCAAATGCGATCACCACTCAGATGCAACAAGTCAAATCCAACGTAACAACTGCACCAGCAGTCACAACAACCCATCTTACAGCATCTTCTTCCGAAGGTATTATTTATTTCTTATGTGTTGTTTCAGTTGCGTATACAATTAAAATTCAGCTGCAACAACATCACCACCAACTAAAAACGACTCACCAAAAACTTCACAAACGAATGCAACAAATCCAAAGAAACGTCATTCTGCCAGTGAAGATAGCACAACGCAGCAAACGATCGACACAAGTGCTGAGAATGAGCCACCGCCATTGCTCGTCCAAGGTTTGTTTTATATTACTGTCCTATTACATTATATGTATTATTCAATGAACATTTAAGGTGAATGCAAAGACGCATTAGACGTTCATGTACTGTTCATGAAAGAAGCGGATCGTTACGCTCGAAAAGTTGGCAGAAAAGGAAAAATAATTCATTTGATCGAAGGATTCGAAATTGAGGTTCATTATTGAATAGTTGTTAATATGGTGATATTATGCTCGAATAATAAGAGTGATGAATAGAATGAATTAATTCGATATAAACGTGGCGTATTCGATGATTAACGGTTGATCTTGCAGGAATCAGATGAGCCATTCGATTGTGACGATACGGCGATGATGCGCATTGAAGATTGTGTTCCGACTGAATTGTTGGACAGAATTCGATTGAGTCGATCACCCGAATCGTGCAAGAAAACGCGTTCGTTTGCATTTGTGATTTGTTCGAGATGATTTTTGTTGGTAATGGTACATTACATTGTTCTCTGAAACGAGTAGTCAGTTATATTGCAGCATCAAATAGCATCCAACAGCAAGAATGTCAAACTGCTTTAAAGAACGAGAAGAAAACGTCACAAAAGGCATCGGTCGGTAGTGGTAATAAAATTGCTGAGGCAGCGACTGGCAGAAAAGCGAGAAATAAGTTAGTTTGTTCATTAATATTATTGTTATTACTAACTTGTTCAATCATGTTTTGATTGGTTTGTTGGAGAGAAATTCGTGAAATTGTTTTAATGAAAAGGAGAAACTTAAAAAAGAAATTTGATTGAGAGCGAATGAAATGTTAATCGTTCAGTACACCGTCATCATCGGCAAAAGAAGAGTTATCACTGAGTGACACATCACCGATATCCAACACAACATCAGCACCACCCCAAAAAGAAAAGAAAAAACGAAAGCGTAAAACCAACGAGGTATTTTTTATTGTTTGTGAGCAAGCAACTTTTTAAATATGAATGTCAATCAGCACTAACAATGAACATTGCTCAATCAAGCAACGTTCATTCCATCAGCAATTTCAACTCATTATGAGTTTGTGCCTCTCTGTTATCAATATCACTTCCTTCCTTCATTTACATTCTTCTTTTCGCGCAGCGAGCAATAACAACAAAAATTAATTCAGTTGGATCGTTTACTTCAAATGGATTTTGGACCAGCGCAAGGTCGCTTATGTGATATATTAGGAACAACGACGGTGCTCGCAAAAGAAACAACAAAAAATAAGAATAGTGCACTGACTGAGAATGTGAACTCGAAGAACAAGAATTGTGAAAGTTCGATTGAAAAACCGTCGTCATCATCATCAGTTAGTAATGCAGGTAATAAAGTGATAATATTACTGGATTGAGGCATCAAGCAGTAATAATGCCATTACTTCAGAAGAAAGGAGCACATCTCCATGCAAGAAGTCGACTGCTGTTCCGTGCACACAGCAACGAGTTGATGATGCTAATGATGATGAAAAGAAGAAGAAGAAACATCACACGCCATCATCACAAACACAGAAACGATGCGGATTGGTGGTGGGAATGCGATCTGGTGCTTCTCCTCCCAGCGGTGTTCCACTCGCATCCTCCTCTCCACTTGATTCAGAAGCAACACAACAAAAACATCATTTGCAGACATTGAATGACGGTCAGTTTGTTCATTGTTTATTGTTGTTTGTTCGTTTATTAATTGTTATGAGGTTGTTTTATGCATCCATTATAATGAAGCAAATTAAAATCATTGAACAAATTAAAATGTTCAGAATCGACAACGTCTGTGAACGATCTATCGTTGAATTCATCGAAAGGAATCGAATCAGGAGGAGACGGAATGCAGATGAATATTAGTAATAATAGTAATACGTCAATGAGAGCGTTAAAAACGAGTGTGTCAGATGAAGAATTGGATACGGAACGATGTAATTATTGTAACGGTTTGTTGAGATTGAAACGTTGTGATAATCATCCGCAATATTGCTCAAAGAAGTGTCGAAAATTATGGAAGAAAAGTGCAGCGCTTGTTGAAGATCAAGGTTGGATTTGCATTCGCTTCTTTGTTTATCTGTTCTCACAACCCAAGTTCGAGGCTGCCGATGTAACGCCGAACACTCAGCAATAGAGAAACGTGCTTCTCGCTCGGTAAACATCGAAAAACTTCTTTCCGGTTCCCAGTCAGTGGCCATCGACTCAAAAAATTCTCGATCGGTTCCAGGACTAAATGATAATGGTACCGTATCGGGAATACCTGGATTGTCGCCTCCTCAACAATGCAACTCAGGAATCACATCCGCAAAGTCATCGCCAACAAAGGATTTATCAGTGACAGTCGTTTCGTCCGTACCACTTCAACGAAGTTTCAGTACACCAAATACGTTCGCATCGATTCCATTAGGTATATTTGTGTATTGGTCTCGTTTATAGTTGTTGTCATAAATTCAAATTGAACGTGAGCGTATCGAAATTAAACTGCTTTCTTCAGCAATTCCAACATCTGCAGACGACAACAATCAAAGGTCGTCGCCACCGCCAACTACACTCACACTGAAAAAGGTATCACCGAAACAAGCTGAAATTGTGAAATCGCCTCGAACGATGTCATCTTCTCATGAAGTTATCACCGCCGATAATACTAGTAATGATAACAATTCACCGGCTAAAAATAACACTTCGTCACCGTCGTTGGGGTGTGCATCGATGCCAAATATGTCAAGCACAAGCTCTAGCAGTGACCCGTCACCCTATTATCATCAAAATCAACAATATTATCATGCTCAACTTCATGTTTCTTCGTCTTCTTCTCAAGCACACAGTTTATTGACTGTCTGCAACAAATCAAGTGCTACATCAGCACTAATAACGGCAACACCAGCAATAACAACAACAACCTCACCGTCCATCCACTCATCTCACCTTCCTTATCATATCACCAGCACTAATCAGACTGCAATTTCTACTCATCAGAATGTGCACTCCTCTTCCACTTCTCATAATAACGACAGTAACGTTGCATGTGCCACGAGCACCGCCATCGAAAAGTGTCAGTCGCAATCGTCACCTTCACAACTTCATTTCATGCAAAAACCAGCCAGAACGTGGACGGTTAGTTAGTATTTTTAGTGGGAGTTCGATAAATAATTAGAGTTTTAGTTATGTTGTTTGATTTTTCATTTATCACTTAATTATCAGTAACTGTTTTATTTTGTGTAACGCAGGGGAAAGAGAAAGAGAAAAACGAAATTTCGATGGAAGTGGATGAATGGTCGTGTGAATTGAGAAAAATGATTTCGCTTTTTTAAATGTTTCACTGAAAAAATATTATTTCTTTGAGTTGTCGTTGAAATTTGATTAAAGACATTCGTTTAAAGTTTCATTCAAATATTTCATGCTGTTGATGTTGTTTAGTGCGAAGAGGTAGCAAAATGGGTGGCTGCAGTGACTGGATCGGAGGATTGTGCGGGAACGTTTCATAGTCAGGATATCGACGGACAGTCATTACTGCTACTCGCCGAAAATCCACATCACAATCTGGGTACTCTTCTCGGCCTGAAACTTGGCCCGGTTGTGAAGATCCAAAATGCACTCCGAGAATTAGCGGCTAAGAGTATAAATGCTGCATAATAATATGATTGTTTTTTTATTCATCATTAGTCATTATTGTTATTTATCATTGCTTATTTTATGCGATTGCATGCAGAGCATGGTTGTGAATTACTATGAATCTGTCTACTTCTACATTGACAAATACGTCCATATGCATATTGATGATTCTTATTGTCATTTGAATAGGATACAAGAACAAGAGTAGAAATGTGCTCATGTTCAAGTGATCGATCATCCAAGTTCAAACCAATTCAAGAGCCCTAGTCAAAACAAGAATCTAAACTGCATGGTACATTTAACTCATTCCTTAAATGTACCGTGGAGTCTTTATTTTATGATTATTTGTTTTATGACTCCCAAGATGACCACTACTACTCTCACTGAGTTGTTATTGGCTTACGGATGTTCTCTGCGCTAAATCAGGTTCTATTTCCACTACTGAGTTCAGTTCCATTTTGGATAGGTAGTGCATCGTAAGAAATGCTTGATTGGTGATTGAGCTTGAATAGTGGATGAATATGTAGCAGATTAATTAATTCATTTATTTTTCAGTTTGTTTGTTCGTTTCATACAGTTGGTAACATAATATTCAAGTAAATATGTACATATATATCCGACGCGCTTTATTTACTTCCTTATTTCCTGTGAAGTGCCACTAAGGCGACTTCACTAATGTGCTTACTCTGTATCGTGGCATTTGCACATACTTCGCCATTTAGTTCTGTTGTCATGCTCACAGATTGTATCCACTTTGGACTGTTCCATGTGGCGTCAACGCTTCAACCATAAACTGACGGTGCCGACTTGATTATCTTGTCAAATGCAGTAAGTTTAAGATCGGTTTTGATTTGCTCGCTGCAAATCAATCATTTCATACCTCTTAACTGTTTCCAGTTAGGATAGGGTTCATGCAGGAGCGATAGTTTCTCTATTTCATTGTCATCACGCCTCAAAATACTTCCAGCAAACTTCAGTACGTTTTCGTGCACTCTTTATTAACTCGATTAATGGTTACGTTGATCACGTATCATTTAGCTGAATTAGATTGTTTCGAATAATGCTGAGGTATGAAAGGTATTTATTTGTTTGCAATAATAGTTATACTTCGATGTCTTATTTTTTCACAATTAAAAGACGATCTCTTTCCAGCGTATTTTAAATGAATTTATTATGATACATTAAGTAATGTTTTTATTGCTTGATCTTTTTTATTTAATACCTTTTGAATAATTCTTGATGAAGCAGACTGTATATCTGCTTTTCTTTAAATTAAATGTTTTTAAATTGTACAATGAATCATTCATATAAACTTTTTACGGCCTTATTTCTTTTTATTATGTGTAACTCTAAGTGAGTGATTGTTGATTCTCAGCAGTATTTATACAACTTTTGGCTATTGTAACTTCTATAACTTTTTTGCGGCTATTATCTTTATGGATGAAAAGTTAATAATTTTCGAGGTCATTGAGTTGTTGTTATCGTTTATCGGCAAATAGTACCACAGTGGTCACCTGTATTTTTACATATTACGATTGCAATTTCGTCGTTGTCTTGAATTGTTTGGACGAATCAACTGTTTTGATAGTCAGATTTGAATGGTTGCAGTGATCTCGCTGCAAAGAAATGTTTTACTAGTTTGCATATAACAGTTGATGAAATCTGAGAATATGACAGTCTACATGAATAGAGCACTTCTTGTATTTGTTTTTATTGGTACCATCTTGAAGGAATACTGCATCCAACTCATTTATAGTTGTATTACTGGAAGTTAACAATGTTGAACGAGGAATATATAATCGTTGTAGTTCAGTAATGCAGTTTAATGGAGATGAATATATAGCTGATGGGAGATGATCTGTTGGCAGCTCGGTGTTAGTTTATTTATATAAGCAAAGGTATTAATGTAGTAGACAGATTTCACACACATAGCGACGATAAATTATTACCATTCTGACATTATTCATAGATGTTATTGATCGGTCATAATTACATTCAAATTATCAGTATTTGTTCTTGACTCTCTTTACTGATGTTATTAATATCTGGTTGATGGATATGTTTTTGCAGCTTTGGCGAGGTCGTCTTTTTTTCCAACTGATACTGCAGTCGTCAATCATGTTGTTATAAAGGCTTCTTCACATCGCGTGTTTTAGAAGAAAGCTTATTGAGGAATTGTTATTTTGGGCTATTTTAGAATTGTTTGAATAAATCGTGTAAAAACAACCGTTTCGCGCAATTTGGCTTTGTCATTACCACCTAGTGCTATCAGCGGCGGCAGAAAAACCCATCGACGAATCAGTCAGGCCTTTGGACGAGATAAAGTGGAGAAACGTAAGGTGCAAAATTAGTTCGCAAGGTTTTGTAACGCCGATGAAAGATTCGACTATTACTATGCTGGTGGCCACCGATAAGATGCGGTGACGACCGCCTCATAGCGCTTATGGAGGTGAACCTGTTTACAATGACTTGAGAATTAGCTTATTGTTAGGAAGTCGTAGTTAACGGCTGGACTGTTAGCGAACACCTCCGTTTGAAAGGAAAACCCGTTATGGATATGTAATTAATACTTTGATGATGACACTGTCATGAGTAACAATCAGGAAAGAGCACACAAAATGAATAACAAAAAATTTATTGATGAGATTCGAGCGTACGACACTGTGACTGAGCACAGCACTCGAATGGCTATTGATGAAATCCGAGCGTATGGCTGCATCGTTGCACATGTGATAACAATGGTGTTAGTATAATAATAATAATAAATAACAATAGTAACAGTAGTGATAATCGTAGTAATATTTAATTTACTTCGTAACATTTAATTATGTTTTAAGTTGAAGTTTTCATCAAATCGATGAGTCTTTTTCCCACTTTTCAACAACAGATTGTTTTCAATTAACGATAAGCACAACATCATTCAGATGTTGGAAGTTTGCTGTTTTCGGTGAGGCATGAAAGTCAGTGATAAAAAGTGCTGATTATCATTATATGATAGTGGTAAAATTATAATAACGATAATTAGAATAATATTTTTGTCATGTCTAATGTCGTGTAATACACATTTGCACAGTGTCGATATGATCGTATTCGAATAATGCCGAGCATAGCACGAAATAGAATTGCCATTTTCGATGAAATTCCTTCGAATAACCCATTTTTAAGATATCTTTTTCTCGTTCCATCCATGCACTGAAAATTTTTTCAGCGTATTTTGATTTTGTTTACTCATCTGTGCACTCAGCTGATTATTGTATTTTTCACGCAAAATTCTGCCTCTTTAAGATCGCTCGAATTATAACAGTTGATACTCGTCCTAACCGCGTTTCATTCGCAATCATGACCTTGTGCTCTAACCATCTCATTTTCAAATGATCACCACCTTTTTTTTCCATTTCAAGGCTGCCACACTTATAGGCGTGTGGATATGTATTTGTGTACGTAAGTGTATTATAAAAAACATAATGAAGTTAAATAAAGAAATGAATATGTATACAAGAAACTTTTAGGTGTTCCGAAATTTTCGCGTACAAACTTCAGAAACTGGGAATTTTATGAATTCTCAGAGAGACTGGGAATTCAGAGATATTCGTTAAACAAAATATTCCTCTGAAGAACTCTCGGATTTTTTTAAAGTTTTGGGAGTGTTTACTGCTTTCGGGATTATTCACGTTGGATAAATCCGAACAAATGCTTTAAAATTCTTACGCATGCCATAGATCCAGTGTTTTCGAATAATGTTTACCAATGTGAGAAACGCTTCGGATGGTCAGTTGAACGGGTAACGCCGCCTTGATGGCACCCTCAGATGGCAGATGGCCACCGGGAAAGATGTACTTTTTGATGAAGTCACTTGAGCGACGATAGCGATCGTAATACGCATCTGGACATGTGATCGCCTGAAGGAACACAAAACATTGCGTTTAAAAAGTTTGCGGTTTTTTTTTTGCTCATTTTCCCTCTTAGAACTAAAAAATGGAGGTGTAAAAGATAGAGGTAAAGTGGTTGCGAGAGGAATCGAACCCCTGGCATCAAGCATTTATTTACCTGCAAACACGCCAAACCACCGGGTCGAAGTCGATCGCTCAATGTTCGAAAGAATTCTGGCAGATATTCATGCCCAACAGCTTCAATCATTTCAATCGCCAATACTTTATCATAAACACCTTTCTCTAATCTAAAAATGTATACTCATTTTCTGTTGTGTATATAATGAATACGAATGACCATTTGCAGCCGTATTTTAGTAAAACTAATAATGATAGTAACGATAACGTTAGTAAACAACACTTGATAGTAATCATAACAGCAGTAGTAAAACTAATAATGTAGTAATGATAGCGAATTAGTACTGAAAATGTGAAGAGACAAACCTATAATCGAGTAATTTGTATTCGATTCTATCGCCTAATTTAGCGTCTTCAACTTTTTTTTGTGCAATCTTAAGTTGTTCTTTTGAGATGGTAATGCCCGTCCACTTACAACCGTATTTTTCAACCGCATAAAGTCCACAACTGCCCCAACCGCAACCAATTTCCAGTACATGGTCATCACTTTTCAGTTGCATTTCAGTCAAAATTTTGTCGTATTTTCGACGTTGAGCTGCTTCGAGCAGAGCGAAATCCGACTTGATTAGTTCATTTGATGGAATTGCTGAAAGAAATTAAAATGCGTAATTTTTTATGCTTTTTTTCGTTTTTTAAATTTTCATTTGTAAGTATTTGAGCAATTCTTTGTGTTTATTCGTTGTTCATTTTTTAGTGGATTTCTTTTCTGGAGGTAGGGAAAGTTCGTTTGAATTATTTCATTTTTGGGTTTTTTGTTTTGGATCATTGCGATAAACAACAAGAAATTGAACGGGTGAGCAAATTGAATGAATACAGAAGCGAGTAAATAAAGACAAAAACAAACAACAATGAATAAAGAAACTTCATAATCAATGAATTGAACGACTAAATAATAATAAACTAACGATCAAATAATGCACACGAATACGTGAATGAACTATCGAGAAACATCTCAAACAGTTCATTACCCAAATCATAATGCTCATGAATGTTTTTCGCACTACCCAGCATTGTGTTTTCACGTAGTCGATGTTTTGCGTAGTTCCATAACCAAACGACGTTACGAATTGAATTCAGCATTAATTTTTGCAAATTCAACAATAACTTTTTTGCGATAATCCCAATTCCGAATGCGAATTCCACTAAATTTTTCCAAGAAGACGAAAATGCCATCGGTTCTCCTGTTTCCGCTTCTTTCCTCTCAACATTACTTTTATTCTGTGAAGCGATGACCATCTTTTTCGTCAATGATGACTTATAACCTAATCACACGTTGTAATGATCATCAGGTAGTAAGATTGCATGTGATTATATTATGGTGGAACAATTTCAACTGGAATCGTTGATAATGGATTTGATGATAATAATACCAATGAAAGTTATGATAACCAATAACGTCAGTGATAAAACCACAATATTACTATGTTGAATTGAACAACAACATCATCACTACTAACATTTTGCTCGAATCAAAAGAGTGAGAAAATGTTTCGCAGAGGGTTTCGCATCCCAATCAGCGTACATAAATGCTTCACCGAGACCGATCTTCTGATCCATCAATAAACGCACACAGAAACGAATCGGATTATGAAGATAAAATATTACTTCATGTGTACTCCCTTCATTTGACAGTCCCTCATGGCTAATTCAATAATCACTATTATTAACACTTATTACTATTATTGATATTGTAAATCATTACTGTTGTTATTGTTATTATCAACAATAGTTATATTAAGCGATCAATTATTCAGCAAAAGTTTACCATCGCTGTAATTGGGCGGTAGTCGACGAATTAAGTGTTCCAAATTTTAATGTTTCGTCCACCTTTGGGATTAAAACATACAATAACTCATTGGTACCATCGATAAGCGATAAAAAATGCCTTTAAAATATATTATGAAAATTATGAAAGGTTTAGTTACAATTTTGAAAGGTGTAGAGTGAAATTAATGTTGGTGATTGACTGATTGGAAAATCTATATTGCGTTATTCTCGAATGATGGAATATGATATTACATCACGTAAACTCTTGTTTAATTTATTTATAGATGGTGAATGAATTAAGTAAGAATTTATTTGATACCTTCGAATTATTGGAACAAATACGAATCTTAATAGAATATCGTATGGATTAATGAATAGTGATAACGGTTTTTTATCACCGTCTTTTGATAATGACATATTGTAGAGAGATAAACGGATAAGCTTCTGAAGTTTAATCAACTATCACCGATTTTTTATTTGATATTATCTGATAGAAGTACGTAGATACTTGTTAGTTTAGTGGTAATAAATGTTAGTAGTTATAATTATCGTTATCAGTATTACTGAAAACGCACCGTATAAACTTATATATATATATATATATATAAACTGATAAGGTATAAACGGAAATGACACAAAATCAAAGAATTGATTTTGTTTGAAGTTGACTCATTCGTTAATTGCGACATCACGTACCACCAATACATAATTCATTTGATCTAATCTCATCGAATCATAGTGCCAAGTGGTGAGTTTAGTGCAAAATAAGCGAAGATTAAATGAGAGTACAACACCACAGATATATTCAAGCATGTGAAACTCATTCAAATTCTCATCTTTATCAAGGCATTTAATGCGAGCGGCGGTTGTACTGTACATACGTTGAGGATAAAAGTTATTAGCTCTGAACCTGCAGGCAACTTATCGGACCAAAGAAGATGACCGTATAAGATAAGAGTGAGAAAATGAATGGATTCATGAATTAATTAATGAATAGAGAATGTGCTAGACAAGGGGAGTGATTGTTTTGTCGGTCATAATGGATTAGATCAATTATCGATTTCGAGATAGATTTAGATGGAGATGTTAGTTATTAGTGGATGAAGAAGAAAAGGAATGTGGATAACGTTAAAATTTCATGTACATTTATATATTTTTCATGAATCATAATAGTGAGTGTTCGGTATTCATAAGCAAATGCTTAGGTGAGAAAGTAATTTTGAATGAATGATTTCGTTTTAAATAATATTCTAGTATATTAAGACAATATTAAGTATTGTTATAATAATAATAATAATATCAATAGTTTAAGATCAGTATAATGAAAGAGAAATGTCGCAGTGCAAGGTATGTAACATTTCGCGATTTTCGTTGTGATGCAGTTGTGGTCAGAACATGTTAATGAATTAATTAGTTTCATCAAATTGTGTCAACATCGTCAAATATCTTGCATCATCAACAACGTTTTATATACATATTTTGTATATA